GGCACCGAGCTTGTTGTGCCGAAGATGCTTAGGCACGAGCGCCATGCACATGCACCCGAACACCCGAAGCATATCCACCTTTGGCTTCCTTCCAATCCACTCCACATAGGGCACCCATTTGTCTGCTCCCACATGAGTCAAAGCTCTGTTCTTGGCCACACACGCACTCCGCACCGCATCAGGCCAGAAATAGTCGGGTAGCCCGGCTTCAATGAGCAACCCACGCGCCGTCTCTGTGATTGTCCGGTTCTCTCGCTCGGCGATGCCGTTCATTGCAGGGGAGTATGGCATGGTAAGGGAGTGCCTTATGCCATTCTTCTTCAGCCACAATGAGAAGTCCCTGCTCAGGAACTCTCCCCCTCGATTGGTGCGAATTGCCTTCACTAACCAGTCTTGTTGCCGCTCCACCATCGGCAACCAATCGGTCTTCACCGTTTCAGCCATGTCACTCTTCTTGGACAGCATGTACACCCAAGTCATCCGAGTGTAGACGTCCACAATGGTGAGAAAGTACTCAGCTCCAGCAGCTCCAAGCTTCAGGGGGCCCACCACGTCCATCACCACCTCATCAAGTGGTGCCTTAGCTGTTGCCTCCGAACTAGAGAACGGGTAACGGGTGAACATGGCTTGCATGCACGTCGGGCAGCCAAGTACCTCATCGGGCTCCCCCTTCACACGTATGCCAACAACCATCTCATTCTTCACTAGCTGCTGCAAGATGGGCAGGGCCACATGCCCCATTCGCCGATGCAAGGTGAGCCAATCACACTCCCCCATAGCCGAAGTCGGATTGGAGAATGCCGCACTCGCAATAGTGCCCCACATGCTCTCTCCGTACTCCTCCTCCGCTGCTGCCTTGGGGTTCTCCTCATCCTTGTGGTGCTTCTTGGCTACTGCACCACTCTCCTCGTGTTCACCGAGCTTGCTGGTTCCTCCAAGATTGCACTTCTTGGACTTAATCTCCTGAGCGCGACCGTTCGCGCCATCGCCGCTACCAACTGCTTCACCCTTGGTGCTGATGCTTGCTGCCACTTGCCTCTCCTTAGGCATAGGGACCACAGGGATCTGCCACATCTCGTTGTAGACATCCCTATCCTCGTGAAGGTCCCAAAGAATCCGCTCGCCAAGCCTCGCGGTGTAGGTCTTAGCTCCCTTCGAGCTCGTGTCCATGCCGGCCTTTTGCAACCGCCGCACCGAAATCAGGTTGGCAGCAAGGTTGGGCACCCAAAGCACGTTCTTGAGGCCCACCATCTTCCCATCAGCACCCTTGAACATGGCCTTGCCCATGCCTTTCACCTCTGCTCGCTGCCCTAAAGCCGATGTCACATGCTTCACCGGTGACGGCTCAAGTTCGGTGAGCAAGTCCGCACGAGGTGTCATGCTATAGGTAGCGCCGCTATCGATCACCCAATAGTCCAGGGAGTGTAGGGTCACCTTCCCCACAGCTGCTGGCTCCTCAAAGCCTTCATCCTTCTCTGGACCAGCCGGTGCTTGCGTGGACACGAAGAAGAATTGACCCGGAAAGCGATCGTCCCTCGACTCGCTCTCGTTGCCGGCACTCTTCTTACTTGCAGCACCACCTCCGCGACCGCCACGGCCTCCACGGCCTCTTCCTCTCCCTCCTCCTGCTCCTCTACCCTCTTGGCCTTGAGCAGGAGTCCATCCATCAGGGAGCTTGTAGCAATCGCGCCACATATGTCCGCTCTTGTGACAATAGTGGCACTCGCCGTCGAATCGGCCGCGACCGCGTCCGTAGTTCTTGTTGTCGCTGCCGTATCCGCCACTCCCGCGGCCTCCATTGAAGTTGTTGCTGCCAAATCTGCCTCCCCCTCGTCCTCTGCCCCTTCCATGGCCATACCCTCGGCCGATGCTTGCTGCCCCGGCGCCATCCGCACTCGCCAACTCACGGCGGCGGAAGTCCTCTTGAAGGATCGCTCGCTTCACGTCTTCAAGCGAGAGGCGGGGCAAGTCACGATTAAGGTTGATGATGAGCGAGGACCATGACTCTGGGAGTAAGGCCAGCAACTTGGTCTTCTTTTGAAGCTCACTGTAGTTCAAATCAGCTCCCTCAAGCCGCGTCAACAAGTCGAAGAATTTCTGCACCCGTTCTTCAACCGCTTCGTCTTCTTCAATTCGTAGTGCCGCCATTTGCCGTTCCAACACCACCGCTACCGCCGCTGTTGCAGGAGCGTGTACACCCTTGAGAGCAGCCCATGCCTTTGGTCCCTTCTCTGGTTCACACTGGAATGGCTTGATGTGACGGATCTGGCTGCTCCCCAACGCTTGCCCAAGCAGGAGATAGCCTTGTGCGCTCTTCCGCACCCACGGGCTCTTCTCCGGGTCGTTCTCGGGGCGCTTCTCCGTTCCTTCCATCACCTCTAGCAGGTCATAGTGGTCAAATACATTCTCCATTCTGAAGGAACATTCAGCGAAATTGTCGCCATTCAACTTGTCAAGCCCAAACACCCTAGGCTCATCCCTAGGTGGGCCAAGACTTGGTTGCACGGGCGCCATGGCTGAATCATGGGGTTGGCCTTGAGCTTGGGCTTCTCCACTGCCACCAGCACCTCTGCCACCCCTTTCCTCAGGTCCAGCCATTGTCGAAATGCTCCAAGGGGCTTTGATAACACTTGTTATAGTCACAAAAGGCTTGAATGTGCCTAAAACGAAAGATAGAGGGCACAGACGGATTTCTGCAGAGCGGCTTCAAACGTTGATAGCGTTCTGGTCACAGCTTCAAATGACCTGATCTAACTCGGATCTAGAGCGTCTCTACGTCGCCTACAATAAGCAATTTAGATTGCACAATTGCATAAAGAATTGACGACACAGCGTTGGTTTGAACGAACGGTACTATGGCAGCCACTATAGTCTTAGAACACAAGATAGGAAGAGTTACGAGTTGGGAATGACTCCCAGCTCCTACAAACCCCAAGAGCCGAGGTACAGTGGTGTGGAATAGTGCCACACTGTCTCCAACCATGAAGGGTCTCGAAACTACCCTCCACAAGGGCCTACACCAAGAGAAATGTTACACTACACAAAGTAATGCAACTATTCTCACTATCTTAAAGTTTACCCTTTTGGAGAGCTTCGAAATCACTTGAATCTTGAAACCAAAGCTCTGGTTCTTCAAGATAAATTCTTCCTTGAGTTCTCGGAAGTCTGCTGCACACACCTGCGACACGCCGAACGTTCCACACACGACAAAATAGAAAAACGCACACGACACGCAAACGACGACATGACATGCGACTAGCGATAACTCGCTATTGACTCGACACACACATTTAAAATCATCCCTCATCATTCACACACTATTGTAAGCATGAAATATATATTATCTCATGCCCTCATACCATTCCATGCACACACGCATGCACGCACACGGACAACAAGCCGAATGCAAACCGTAGGGTTGCACCAACAACCTGCCACTGTAATGGCGGAGGAGTTATCCACAAAGAGAGTAGTGGGCTCCTCACTCCTCAGCAGTTGAAATTCTGCGATCAGGAAGCGCAACCTACGTGCCTCCTTCCCAGCCTCCACAGCAGCAACGTACTCAGACTCAGTGGAGGAGAGGGTGGCGCAACGAATCCTCTGACTCGCCCAAGAGACAGCAGCGCCCCCGAGTACGAAGACATAGCCACCAGTGCTGGTCCTGTTTTGCTTGTTCCCTGCATCATCAGCATCGGCGTAGCCCACCAGCTCCAAGGACTCCGGCCCACCACCAAACTCCAGCGCCATATCCCTGCTCCCCACCAAGTACGCCAAGCACCGGTCCAACTCCTTCCAGTGCTGATCACTCCGCACAGTCTGGCCCGACCCCAACTTGCTGCAGGCGAACGAGATGTCGGGACGGGTGGTACAGGCCGCGAACTGCAAGGATCCCACTTTCTGCCTGTACTCCTCCTGGCAAGACTGCCATCCCACATCCTCGAAGGTCTGCACACTGAAAGGGTCAGAGGAAAGAGGGGTGCGAGGCACTCGCAGCGGCTGCTCCCCGTCAAAGAAGCGCCCATGGACCTTGTCGACATAGGCCCCCTGGTGCAGCCACAGCCTCCTCGTAGGCCTGTCCCGAACCAGCTGCAACCCCAGATACTTCTCCACAGTGCTAATCTCCCGCAGCAGAAAGGCTCTCTGCAGCAGGTCACGCAGCTCCCCTAGCATGTTCTGACTGCGACTGGCAGCAAGCAAATCATCCACATACACCAGCAGCCAGCACATCTCCCCCTCAGCATCACTCTTGAAGTAGAGAGCCTCATCAACTTGGCTCTTCTTCCATCCAGCCCCAAGCAGCACCCCATCCAAGGCCGCATACCACAACATCGGGCTTTGCTTGAGCCCATACAGACTCTTCACCAACTTACAGATACGAGGACTCCCATCCTCGTAGCTCGGCTGCTCCATGTAAAGGTCTCGGTCCAGCACGCCATGGAGGAACGCGTTCTTCACATCCAGCTGCATCAGGTCTAAATCGAGTGCAGCTGCGATTGCCAGAAGCACACGCGCCGTCACATAGCTTCCCACAGGGGCGTACGTCTCCTCATAGTCCACCCTTGCCACCTGCGTGAACCCCTTCACCACCAGCCTCGCCTTCTCACACTCCACTTTTCCATTCGGTCGGAACTTGGTGTTCAAAATCCAGCGGTTTTTCATCACATTCACCCCTGGAGGACGCAGAACCAACTCCCACGTCCCCATGCTCAATCAAGCTCCGCATATCCTTGTTCATCGCCTCCTTCACCTTGTCTCCCTTCCAGCAGCCCAAGGCCTCCTTCACTGTCATCTTAGCTATATCCCACTGCCTCTCAGGGTCGGCCGCCACATCTGGGTCCAGGTCCGTCCACTCCTCGTCCTCCTCCTCGTCATCCAAATCTGCTGGCTCAATCACTACTGCCCAAGCATACTTAACTGGCGGGACACCCCGAGTGATGCGAGTGGAGCGACGCAGCGGCGGTGCAGTGATCGTCCCAGAAACCAGCACACGACCACCATCTCTAATTCCCCACATCTCCTGCTCCCTTGTCTGCGGCTCCCCTGTCTGCTGCTCCCCAATCTGCTCCTCCCCTATCTGCTCCTCCCCAATCTGCTGCTCCCCTGTCTGCTGCTCCCCTGTCTCTTGTCCCCCACTCTGCTGCACTCCATCCATGCTGCTCTCGTCCTGCAGCTGCTAAGTCACAAGGCACTGCTCGTCGATGATCATCACAGACGGCAACACCACTGTCCCCCCCTCACCAACGGGCGGCGCCGTGGAAGACGAAGAGGAGGGTGGGGCAGGTGCACAAAGGATGGAGGGTGGAAGAGGAGAGGGAATATCAGGAGGAGGAGGGGTAGCCAAGGTGGGTGAGGATGGAGGAGGCGCGGTAGGAGGAATCACACGAGGGTACACTGTAGGAGGAGGTGGGGTGGGGACTGAGGTAGGGACATAGGGCATACCAGGAGGTGCGACCACTTCCTCCTCCTCCACCTCCTCCTCAAGAGTGCCTGGGAAGAGTGAAGGAAGGGGCTCATAGGGCATCGGACCCCCCCCATGCTCCTGTTGATGCCAAGCCTTCCATCCTGCCAAGGACATGGTCTCATAGAAAACTGCTTCCACAGTGGTGATGAGGCGGTTGGACTCCAAGTCCAGCACCTGCTAGCCCTTGCTCGCTGCTGACACCCCCAAGTGTAACTCCCAGCGAGCCTTAGGCGCTAGCTTCCCCCCGCGCTGCGATTGTGGCACCATATACTGCAGCATGTAGCCCCAAACACGCACCATACTGACATCGGGTTTGCGTCGGAATGCGAGCTCGTATGGCGTCACACCAGAGGGCAGCGAGGCGTGCTCCACGCGGTTGCGCACCCAGACGGCCTGTGACAGTGCCAGGTGCCACCAGTGATGCTGCACACCCATGTGCAGCAACATCGTCCGCACTGCCTCCACAATGCTGCGCATCTCCCTCTCAGCCATCCCGTTCTGCTCTGGCGTGTACGGGCACGTGAGGTCGTGGATCATCCCCTTCTCGTCAAGGAAGAGCGTGAAATCGTGTCCCAGGAACTCGCCACCCCGATCAGTGCGCAGCGCCTTCACCGTGGTCTTACACTGCCGCTCTGCCATCGGGAGCCACTTCTGGAATACCGCAGGTGCATCACTCTTCTTGGCCAAAGGGTAGGCCAAGACGTACCGCGTCTTGCAATCCTTCAGCACCAAAAAGTAGCGGTTGCCGTCCTTAGCTGCTTCACGAAAAGGGCCACACAGGTCAGCACGCACCACTCCAAGAAGCTCATCCTCCTCCTCTCCCATAGAAGGAAAGGTATGACAGGTGATCTTTCCCCCAACACAAGAGACGCATGGCATGCCTGAATTGCCCCCCTTCTCCAACTTCATGCCCGTCACTGACCCGTGAGCCACATTACGCTCTATGGCGTCAACACCGACGTGTGCGAGGCCCGCATGCCACTTGTCCACCTTGGATCGCACGCCCGTCGCCAAAGTGCACAGGGCCACCGTTTCACCCTCCTGCTGCTGCATCGAGCATGGCTGGAAGTCCGTGCAGAGGACACGTCCCTTGAACTCCGCACGACCAAGGAGCGACCCATCTGGCGCGCGCAGCAGAGTCACGTCCCCGGCATCCAGCAGCTGCACTCCACTATCACGCAGCTGCCCAGTAGAAAGAAGACTCGCCTGCACTCCAGGTACGTACAGCACGTCCAGCACCAAGACACGCCTGCCCAAGTCTCCAAGGAGAGCGACTGTGCCTCGCCCCTGCACCTCCTGAGGAGTGCCGTTGAAGCCGATAACATGTTTGATACCGCCGCCGCTGCTCATCTCCACAAAGGCAGAGCGATCTCCCATAAGATGGTGGGAGCATCCGCTATCAAGTAGCACGACGCTCGAGTTCGCCTTCACAGAGCTGCAACAGCCTGTAAGCCCTCCCCGACCTCAGGGCTCCAGCATGACGGGAGGAGGATGCTCTATAACGGGCTTCACCATCGCACATGATGATTTCCCGCTCCCCTTAGAGCCATCACACCCCTTGCCACTCGCGCTGCTGCCTCCAGAACCCTCTCCACCCATGTCTACCTCTTTATCCGCCCGCAGCCGACAGTACTTAGCGATATGGCCCGGCTGCCCACACACGTAGCAATTCCCCTTGAACCCTCCTCCCCCCTGTCAAAGTTACGAATGGGAATGAATGAACTAGCAACGAGCTGGGTACAAGTACTAATCCTAATTGGGTTGTACCCCTTATGGGCTACCCCACTATAGCCTACACAAATGTAAAAGCTATAATGTTCTGACACACCCCCATAGGCAAAGTGGGGGAGAACAAGTGGTCACAAGACCAGTCAAGAAAAGCAAAGCAAGCTCAGGGTGGATCACAAAGTCACCACGCAGTCCGAGCACAATCAAAGGGCCACAAGGCCAGTTCACATGCAGAGTGATATAAAGAGAACAAACAATACAGTGATCATATCCTAGCAAGTGTAAGCATGCAGGTATATATATGTATAGATCACAGTACAAGCAGAGTTAAGCATTAAGCAAGTGAGGCAAAGTAGGCACAAGGCCTAACACAGTAGCAAAGCGCTGATGATCACCAGGCGGAAGTGCCTTGGTGAATATATCAGCAGTGTTGGCCCTAGTGGCCATGTACGCAAGACGAAGCTGGCCACGCTGCTGCAACTCTCGAGCAAGGAAGTATCGCAGAGCGATGTGCTTCGTTCTGTGCTCCAGTTTGTGCTCCTGACACAAGGCAATCATGGCCTTGTTGTCTACGTATTGAACTGGAGGCGAACGAGGCTGCTCTCCCAGATCAGTCAGCAGGTAGGTGAGCCAGCGTAGCTCCTGTGTAGCTATAGCCTTGGCGTAGATCTCAGCCTCACACCTGGAGCTGAGAACCAAAGATGAGCGGGTAGACTACCAAGAAAAAGAGCCAGAGCCAAGGCTGAAGGTGTAACCCTGTGACGACCGCTGCGTAGCTGAGTCGTCAACCCAAGAAGCGTCTGCGTGACCAGTGAGGACAACCGGACCCCGTCCTCCAAGCACTAGCCCCATGCTCGACGTACTGCATAAGTAACGCAGTACCCTCTTTGCAGCATCCCAGTGCACCTTTCGGTGCCTACCGGGAGCCACGTAGCGAGCCAGGAGGCTAAGAGGGTACGCGAGGTCAGCTCGTGTGCACGTCATCAGGTACATGAGGCAGCCCACAAGCTCTGGGTACGGACCACTCGGCTCTACGGGTTTGTCCGAAGGTGGAGCTGAGAGCGAGTGGCTGGTAGACAGAGGAGTGGGCTGTGGCGAGGAGAACTGGAAGCCGAAGCGCTGAAGGACCTGGTGCACTATGTGTGACTGAGTCACGGTGATGGTGTGCCGTGCTCTGTCCCGGGTGATCTGCAAGCCAAGATAGCTGCGCAGTTCACCCAGGTCAATGCAGGTGTGTCTCTTCTGCAGCTCCGACTTCACAAGGGTCAATGCCTCAGAGTCAGCAGTGGCAAAGACGAGGTCGTCGACGTACACGAGGACGTAGAACGACGGCAACGAGGTGTCGGTGCGTAGAAACAGTGACGGATCAGCAGTAGAAGGAGCAAACCCAAGAGCCGCCTGGCGGAGACCATAGACTGACCGCCGGAGGCTCCACTGGGTACCTGCAGGAAACGACCCAATGAAGCCAGGTGGGCGGTGCAGCCAGATCTCCTCGTGCAGGCCGCCCTGCAGGAAAGCTGTGCTGAAGTCCAGAGAGTGCAACTCGTAGTCACGCTGAGCAGCGACGTGTAGCAACACCCGAAGAGTAGTCATCTTCGGGGTGGGGGAGAAGGTCTGGAAGTAGTCAACCCCCTGTCGCTGACTGAAGCCTCCAGCAATGTAACGCGCCTTGAAGGCAGGCGGAGAACACGGCGGCCGCTTCACCCTGAAAATCCACATGCCATCGACAATGTTCGCCCCAGGTGGGGGAACCTCATCAACGTAGGTGCCTGTGGACTTCCAAGATGCCATCTTGGCATCCATGGCTGCCTGCCACTGAGAGGAGTAAGGACCCGTAATCGCCTCTACGCAAGAGCGCGGGGTAGGGATGTCTGGTGCATCCGGGTCTCCCTCAGGGGCAAGCAGCATGGAAGCGAAACGAGGTACAGCAGCTGCAAGACACTCAAAGTCCTCCTACCTGTCCTCAAGGACGTCCGTGCCAAGAGCACACTCACCCCCGACGGACGGAGGACTGGCAGATGCAGACTCAGCAACAAGATCAGTGGCGTAGTCTAGATGACAGGCAGCAGCAAAGTCAAGCAGCTCAGCAATGAGAGCAGACGCAGCAACAGACTCAAAGGAAGGGTCAGTGACAGCAGTGGCGAGGAGACGAGCAACAGTGGGACTGGCAGCACGAGCACGGTCAGACTCAGGGTCAGGGACCTCAGGAAGAGAGGACTCAGGAGGAGCAGACAGAGGAACACGTAGTGGAACAGAGGAAGGACAGAGTGCCATAGCGTGTGTGTTGGTGCAACCCTACGGTTTGCATTCGGCTTGTTGTCCGTGTGCGTGCATGCATGTGTGCATGGAATGGTATGAGGGCATGAAATAATATATATGTCATGCTTACAATAGTGTGTGAATGATGAGGCATGACTTTGAATGTGTGTGTCGAATCAATAGCGAGTTATCGCTAGTCGCGTGTCACGTAGTCGTTTGCGTGTCGTGTGCGTTTTTCTATTTTGTCGTGTGTGGAACGTTCGGCATGTCGCAGGTGTGTGCAGTAGACTTCCAAGAACTCAAGGAAGAACCAGAGCCTTGGTTTCAAGATTCAAGTGATTTCGAAGCTCTCCAAAAGGGTAAACTTTAAGATAGTGAGAATAGTTGCATTACTTTGTGTAGTGTAACATTTCTCTTGGTGTAGGCCCTTGTGGAGGGTAGTTTCGAGACCCTTCATGGTTGGGGACAGTGTGGCATTGTTCCACATCACTGTACCTCGGCTCTTGGGGTTTGTAGGAGCTGGGAGTCATTCCCAACTCGTAACTCTTCCTAATTTGTGTTCTAAGACTATAGTGGCTGCCATAGTGCCGTTCGTTGGAGAAGTTGAAAAATGGGTGCCCAAAGAAGCTTTGACTCATGTTGGAGCAGAAAAATGGGTGCCCTATGTGGAGTGGATTGGAAGGAAGCCAAAGGTGGATATGCTTCGGATGTTCGGGTGCATGTGCATGGCGCTCGTGCCTAAGCATCTTCGGCACAACAAACTCGGTGCCAAGGCGATATGGGCTGTGCACTTGGGCATGGCTCAAAACAGCAAGAGGTGGCTTCTTTGGGACCCATTCACCAAGAAATTCTTGGTGAGCAGGGACTGCAAATTCATGGAGAATTTGATGTACAAGGATTGGAAGGCGGAGAATGAGGCGAAGATAGGCATGCGGTTTGGGGAGGTGAAGAGTTCCGGTTTGGAGCATGTGGAGCTGCCCTTGGAGCTGAGCAGCGGCAGCACCACCACAAGGCAATATTCCCTTGTGAATGGGGGAGAGGAGGCCAAGGATGCAGAGGAAGAAGAGGAGGAG